TTCTCGATCTTCTTCTTCTAAGACCTCTTGGCGCTATCCGAATTTTCTCTCAAAGAAGAATCTCTCTTTTCCTCTCACATATGTTGGACCGATTTTTCCAACCCTTTGGGGTGAGAAAAACGTGTATGATGATTTTAGAGGCTAGAGGACATAGTGTATTTATAGGCTACAATAGGGACCTAAAGAAGATGCTAAATATGGGCATATTCTATCAGGTTTAGGAATCCCAATTATTTTCCATCTCATTTTTCCCATCTAGGATAATATTCCTAATATTTAATTACCTTATAGAAGACTCCATAGTCTCCTAACCCTAGGTAATATTCTAGAAGGAATATTCCCATTCTTAGGGAATTATGAAATATAATTAATTCCTAATTTCTAATATAGAATTAAATAATAAAATATTCCACTAGAGTAATATTATTGCTCTCCCCAATTAGCTCCGAATTATAATTAATTCGTGTCCACTAGATTAAAATATATTGATCTAATTGACCGATTTATCTCCCCATGTTTAAGATTTAATGTCCGTTGATTAATTAAATTACTGACAAAATAATTAATCAACTTCTTATCAATTTCTGAAACTAGTACCACTCAGATACTTAATCATTATGTCAGATCACATCCGTCTGCAGGGCTTGACACAATTTTCATTCCTGAGCTCATTTCGGGGACGTCATCAACCCAATGCACTGGGACACAGTGACCGTACATATTTATAACGGCACATCATATAAACACACTAATTTACCAAAATACGGAGTATGTCATCCTTGCAGAATAGAAATCACCCTTGGTAAATCAAATAAACGAGTAATGAATACATATGCCCGTTTTATATTATCGTAAATCTTAAGAGTACACATCAATTGCTGAAGGCCTAAATTACAACAACGATCAGTGAGTCTCATAATCTTATACGTTTGTGGTCCTGTTCAATACTTAACATAACTACTAGTGTAGTTCTTCAGTCAAAGATAAACTGGATCAAGAATGCACTACAGTCATTTTTCAAGAGGGGTCTCACTGCCTTACAAGACTGTGAACGAGTAGTTTAGTTTTACAAGGAACCGATAGGTGATCTTTGTGTTCGAAACATTTCGAACCACACTATCTCAATGTAAGACAATGAGTATGATTGTATAAATAAATAAACTGCAAGCATATGTACTTTGACCGAAACATGATGGCCATATCAAAATAGAATTTGATAGAATCTGCAAAACATAATTTTTACAGCATACCTCTAACAATATATATATATATATATATATATATATATATTCGATCGGTTAATTGAATTAACCAAAATAGCTAAAATTCAATATTATTTATATTAGAAAAGCATAATTAGTATTTCAATATTTATATTTAATATTTTTATATTATGTTTTTGGCTGAAAGTAAGAATATTTTTTATTAAAAATATATAAAATTAATATTTTTTTACATAGTTCGGTCAGTTGTGTTATTTCAGTTATTTTTTTAAATGTAAAGTCAAAACCAAAATAACCAAAATTTTAAAAGTGAACATAGATAATCAAACTGAAATATAAGAATCTGAATAAAAGTTTTATTTTGATCAATTTCGATCGTGCAGTCGTACACTAATTAATGTACAACTTATCTTACACTAGGGTCCACTCTTGTTGCTGTCATCTTAACTCTTTGTACCAAATCAGGCTAAAACCGAATGAAAATAATCGGGTTATCTATTCGGTTAACCGAATTAAACTAAACAGCTGAAATTATTTATAATTTATATTTTGAAATATATTTAGTATTTTAATATTTTTATTTTAGGAATAAATACATTTTGCCTACCTAACTATCAGAAAAACTACACTTTACCTACAAAACTTTTTTTTTTTTTACACTATGCCAGCCTACCTAACTTTGATTTTTTGTATACTTTGCCATTTTTAGTCACCGCCGGCCACACGTGTCAATAAAGTACAAAAGCCACGTGTTGGTTTATGAGGCCGGCGGTGACCGGAAATGATAAAGTTTACAAAAATCAAAGTTAGATAGACAAAGTGTAAAAAATAAAAAAAAAGTTCTGTAGGCAAAGTGTAAATTTCCGAATAGTTAGAGAGGCAAAGTATAATTGTTCCTTTATTTTATCTTTTGGTTGAAAAGTTCTAATATCTATAGTAATATAAAGAGGTTGTTGGAAAAATACTAATATAGTAAGTTTGACTACAAAAATAAATGGTTGACTTACTATTATAAGTAATGATAAAAATACACACGTGATTAATGGTATAAAATTTGGATAATTTGATAGGATATTCACAATTCATATTTTTTGGTAACTAATTTGATCCTTTTTTTATTTCCTAAGTAAATCTTGTGAATCTCTTTGAATTTACATATTTTTAGGTTCGAAAATTGAAATCATTGATATCCCATAAAATTTGGAAATGATTTGAATTTGAAACATGTGAGACTTAAACATAATACACATATTAAAAACATATTTTTGGTAAATCTATAAATTTGGTTATTCAAAAATTAAAAAATGTGTGATTTGAACATGAATAATCAAATATAGTTACCAAAATTATTTGATTTTTGTACTACAAGTATATTAAAAACATATTTTTCTACTACAAATAATCAATTTTTTGGTAGAACAAAATCAATTGATATCCCACCAAAAATTTTGGTCTGTCAAAAATCAAAATAAAAATCAAATAATTTGGTAAATCAAAATCAAATAATTTGGAAAGCATTTAACAATAGATGTTCAAATAATTAGTGGGTAGTAATTGAATTTGGTATCTTTTTTTATTTATTTTTTTTTTAAAAAAGAAAATTTATAAATATATAATAGGAATAGAAATTTACTTAAAAAGTAACTAAAATCTCACCAAAAAATGTCATTCTTACAATTATTCATATATTTTTTCGATTTTTTTAATGGGCGGCGAGCTTTCAATTTGAAATTGAAATTACGAAAACATGCTATAAATAGTGAAAACATCTAATTTTATGTTCACGGCTTGATATATATTTAAATTCAAACACAAATTAGCTATAAAATCAACCATAAGATATTCATTTTTTTTTGGATTGTTTGGACTTAAATATTGCAGAAAAAATCTCGAGATATGTTAAATGATACATATCAAAATAAAAATATTATTTTTTCAATTAATCCAAAAGGCCTTACCAAATTAAACTGTAACAAACTCTATTAATTTTGGTAAACATTATGTCATATTGATATGACACATAATCTTTAAAATAAAAGATTAACTGTTGACTTACTAATATAATCATTATCAATGGGCCTCACATGTCAACCAATTTAATCGGATTTTGGTAACAAATTTGATCGAATTTTGATAACAAGTCTCGGATTTTGGTAACAAATTTGATCTTATTTTGATAACAAATCTCGGATTTTGATAACAAATATTTAATATATTATTTTTTTGTAACACACTTTATAGTTATTTACACACAATATATTGTCGATAATCTTTTAGATTTCTTTTGGTAACAAATTTCACAATTTTTTCGGATTGTTTTGAGTTAAATATTGGAGAAAAAATCTAGAGATTTGATAAATGATACATATAAAAATAAAAATATTATTTTTCAATCAATCCAAAAAGC